AGTGAATGGTGAGTGGATGTGAAGGGCTAGGACATGACACTGCTGTAAATTTTATAAATACTGTACACCAGCATTACCACAAACATAAATATTATATTGTACTCCAGTGTTACAATGACTACAACATCACTAGAGATAGGAATTTTTCAGCTCCATCTTATGGGACCACCTTTTATACGCAGTACATAGTTGCAGCACATGACTATAATGAAAAAGTTTGAGGTATTGTGAGAATTACCAAAATGTGATGCAGACACACAAAGTGAGCAAATGCTGCTGGAAAAAATGGTGCCCATACACTTGCTCAACGTGAAGTTGCCACAGACCTTCGATTTGTAAAAAATGTAATATTTGTCAGTGGATTAAGGCAAAGCACAATAAAATGAAATATTTCTGTATAATGACTTTGGTTATATTAGTATTCAGGATCAACATCATTAGTTTACATTTACATCCTTAAGTGTATATCAATTCACAGTGGAACCACAAGCACACAGATGCTTAATATTGCAACTCCTCAGGCCTCTCCTCTGGAATGGAGACCGAGATACCTGGGAAGTCTTATTTTTACAAGTTTCCAAGATGGTCTTATGAGGAAAGTTTGGAAAATAATGTGGGTTTGGGGAGGGGGTAATTTGTTTTTTCTGACTTTAGTTTTATTGAGATAAAATTTACAATTTGGAATATTTCTGTCACCCCAGAAAGAAACCTCATGCCCATTTTCAGTCACTTCCTTTCTCCTCCCTTCTCCCCCAGCCCTAGGCATCCACTGATCCACTTTCTGTCTCTGTAGACTTGCCTATTCTGGACATTTCATATAAATGGAATCATGCAAAAAAATAATAAAAGATAAACGGGATCATGCAATATGTCATCTTACGTATCTGGCTTCTTTGACTTATCTTAATGTTTTTGAGGTTCATCCATGTATCCATACTTTATTCCTTTTTATTGCCAAATAGCATTCAATTGTATGGAAACAATGTCTTAATGTGATTATTTTACATGATACTTTTATTCAAATGATTGTCTTAGTTTTTTCATTTTTTTCTTAGGGTGTGTTTTCTTATGTGTAATTGTCCTCTAGTACCATGTAAAGCCCCTGTTATGTGTTCTTCTCTATTGTTCAAACAGTTTATTTGTACTATTAATTTCTCCTTGAAGAAATCTTTTCTCTGACCTGCTCCAGGCTACCTCAGTGAGGACGAGGTGACTCCAGGCCTCCTGCATAGTTGTCATCTTGGGAGCTTTTTCGGCATCATAGGGATTCCTTTGACTTCACTTTTGTATTGGACTTCCTTTTTCCTGGATAAAAAAATGTCTTTTTCTTTCTTAATGTACTTCAATTTGGTGTAGCAAATCCCTCTTTCTGGGGGAAAAAAAAAAAAGATTTATGGGAGATAAACTGTAAAAAAGTTTTATTTGATTTTTGGTTCTTGTGATTCACCCAGAAAAGGGTTTTCTTTGAGGGGTCAGGTTAAGTCATTTCAGCTTTTAACTCATACTTTAGCCTCATACTTAATTGATAGTTTGAGTGAGCATTAAAAATTTTAAAGATAATTAAATGTAGATTAGAAATTTTTTTTCTCAGAATTTTAAAGGCACTGCTCTATAGTTGAGAAGTCTGATATCATTTTGATTCTTAATATTTTATATAAAACATGTTTTTGTTTGGGGCTGGATGCTTTGTTCTTTTCTTTGTGCCCAGGTACTTCACAGGCCTTTTCAATCTCAAAGCTCATGTCTTTCATGACAGAGAAATGTATGTCTAAGATCTCTTTTCATTTGTTTGTTTTTAAGATCTCTTTTTAGAGTATCCTGTTCTTTTTATTTCAGAGAGGAAGGGAGAGGGAGAGAGAGATAGAAACATCAATGATGAGAGAGAATCATTGATAGGCTGCCTCCTGCACACCCCCCCTTTGGGAATCAAGCCTGCAACCCGGGCACATGCCCTGGCCAGGAATCGAACTGTGACCTCCTGGTTCGTAGGTTGGCGCTCAATCCCTGAGCCATGCTGACTGGGCAGAACAGTTCAGTTTTGTTGAACATACACATTCCTGGACCCTACCAGGAGAAAGTTTCAGGGAAAAATGTTTAAACTAACTGCTGCTTTCTGATGGTGGAGGTGGCCTAACTTAGTTATGCTGCTGAAAGGTGGTGTCCATTTGTATATACCAGACACACACACAGGAGATGTCCATAGTTCAGCTGCATTTTTGTCCTGAGTAATTAAGAGTTCCATTTCAGGTAAGTCCTCTGTGACTCGGCCCCATTTGGTTGGAATAGAGGATCTACCACAATGATTCTCAAACTGAGGATATCAGAATCTCCTGAGATGCTTGTTAAAAATGTAGGCTCCGGGATTTCACTCTCCAGTTTCCATTCCTTAGATCTGGGAAACGATTTTACATGTTTAATAGGCATCCTCTGTTATCCTGATGCAGATGGCCAGTGCGCCATATTTGGAGATCCGCTAATCTAAGTTTGTTACCAATAATGTTCCTGAAAGTTTTGAGGGGTTGGGTTGGGCTGAGAAAATTAAATATCTTGTTTTTTGTATTGTTTAAATATAATTAGTTCCTAAAAGAATAGTAATAAGGATAAGCAGTGCAGCTCTGAGAGCTAGGCAACCAAGACTTTGTACTGTAGAGGGCCCAGCGCTGGTGTTCTTCCAGTCAAGTCCCAGTTCACAGGAGGAGGGGTCCCGGAGGACATCCCCACCTGGAGTCGAGCCCTTCCAGGTCACATCTGGGTACTTAGTACTCTGTAATTCCTTGCCCGTGTCCACTTTCCTCCTAGGCCCAGGGGATAACTAAGTTTTACCAAATAGTCTCTTCCCTTAACCTTTTCTCTTGCCTACCAAAACAATTCCTCTATGCCTTTGCTACTTTATATTAGCAGTTCTCAAAAAAAAAAGCAGCATTAATTGCATCTCCTTTGACATTGAGGAAATGACCCTCAACGTATAGTTTTATGTAAGATTCGAGATGGCTTATTAACATCTGATATACTGCAGTGTTTTAATTGTAGTAAGTTTTGCTAGAGCAGTGGAAAGCTACAACTTTCCAAACAGTAGGGAAGTTGTGGTTCCCCTGCTGTGCTCCTCCTCTGTAGCAGCCAGGAAGAAGGAATCACGTGTTCCATATTATCTCTTCAGAAGGGCCTGGGGAAAAGAGAGAAAGGAAGAGATTAACTGACTTAATTTAACACTTGGAGCCATAAATCATGTGTTGCAATATGGTGATAGGATGTTGCATCAGAACATGGATGTGGCCGTTGTAATGCAGTGGGTAGCACAACCATGGGAGGCTTTGTGGTGCTCTCTGTCTTTCAAGTCTGCACCCCTCCTGCCCTGCAAGGAGAAAGGTGTTATTTTGGTTACATGTACCTCCCGATCATTTTGTTCTCTCCGCCGAGGGCACGTGCATTTCTTTATGGGTGAAAGTTTGCCACAGACATCATTGTACCGGGTCCCAGCACCCTCTTGTGTCCTGTGGTCACGTACCAGCAGGGAGGTGTTGGGTTTCCTCACATCTTCCTGGAAGTCTGTAGGGAAAGCTGGGAGGTGTTATGGCAAAGCTTACGTGTAATGTCTTTACTCTCGGAACCGTTAGTTTTGAAAGTGTATGTAATATTTCCTGAGTATTTCACATTGCTTTTATCTCAAGATTTGAAAGATAGTAAGTGACCAGGAATTTGTCCCTGAGAAACAAAATTGAAGATTGACAGTAATGATAAGGGTAGGAGAATGCAGTGTATTTCAGCAAAATTCTTGATAATCAAAGCAGATTTTGGTAGTTAATTGTTTCTTTATTGTTGTTTTTGCATTTTTTAACACATGACAATATCAAAATTAAATTTTACATTTAAAGCATAAACTCTTGAGGACAGGGCTAATGTCTTAATTATATGGTAGTGCAAGTAGTAGTATCCATGGAGGTGGGTGGGAAAGTGAAGGAACTTAGGCAAAGGATTGACAGATGATGAAAAGAAATAACCTTAAATTCTGATAAAGCTGGGTTTGGAGGATGTGGTTTAGATTTGTGACAGTGGGTTTTTCAATATGAACTCTAGAATTAGTCAGACTTGCCCACCAGTAAAATGTAGCATTTGATCTCCACAACCCTTCCTCCTTGAGGGTCACACCCTATAAAACTCCAGGAATAGAGAAACCACCTGGTTCTCAAAGATGGAAAGAGAAGGAGCTGAGCAAAATGTGCAGTTGCTCTCCCCTACTTGATGGTGAGGGAAGTTGCTCCTCCCGGGAAGGAGGAGGGGAAAGAAAGCAAAAACGTTACACACTACTGGCATTCCCCCCCACAGAAGAAAGTAACTTAGTGGGAGGAAGCATTCCTGCTCTAACAGAGTGATAGTGGTGTGGTAGTTCTTAGGATATTGTAACAGGACATTAAAGCAAATTTTAATGATTTGTAAATTATTTTCATGATTCACTGAATTAAGGAGACATGCTCTTAAAAGACAGTGTGATAGTTTGGAGTATGGCCTTTAAGTCCATATCTTCTGAAATATTTAAAGGTGAACTGATAGGATATCTAAGCTCTACCTCAAAATAATCCAGGGACTGGAGAGGTATACTGTAATTAGATTATTGATGTTGTGTTAGTTGTGTTAGGTGATGGGCATATGGGGTTCATTGTATTACCTCTAGTAAAATGAAAGTTCAATCTGATTCTAAACTTCACTATTAGCTATGTGTCCTCAGCAACTTGCTCTACCTGAGTCTCTGTTTCCTAATCTCTGAAATGAGGGTAATAAAATCTACCATAATGACCATTGTGATTATTCAATTAACATAACACATTATGTGCCGACTACGTAACACACAGGAGTTGCTCAAAAATTGGTAGTTTACTATTCTATCTATAAATAGGAGGAAATCAATATTTCATCTTCCTTAAACATGAAATGTTTGCTTTCTTGGTGAGGTGTGTATGTATTTTCCCCAGGTGACTGTATTAACTTGGATTTTGTTTTGACAGCTCAGATGCCTCAAAGGCCAGAGGGGCTTCTTGGGCCAACCCCCTTTTGATGGAATCCACATTGTCAACCACTTAATAGGAGATGATGACTCATCCCATTCCTCTGATGAAGATCTCATAGAGAATTCCTTGCAGGAGAGTGGCATTGGTTTTCCTTTGCACAGAAAGTCTGGCGCGATGTCTTTAGACCCCACTGTGGCAGATGGTAGTGAAAGCGAAACAGAAGACAGTGTGATGGAGACCAGAGAGGGCAATCAAGTGGATCAAAAGGAACAGCCCCCAAGAAAGAGAGAATCGTACTCAACCACTGTCTGACCATCACTGTGAACTAGACTGGATTTTTTTAAAGGATCAGTTATATGATTAAGGGTTTTTGGGGACATATCTGTTTCATATGTACATATATATATTTTTCAATCTTATCTGCCTTTTGATCTTTGCCAAACCGTCACCACTGACTGACCATTGCCATAAAGTAGACTGGACTATGGTTAATGTGAAAAATAAGGTTCTAGCAGTATTACTGAATCTTAATGTTTCTTGTGTAGAAAATGTAATTATATCTATATGTGGAAACCATTTTGAAGTTCTGAACTATGGGAAATTTAATTTTCTTCAGACAAAACTGCTCTTGTGCAATATTTTATGCTTAGTAAACAAATTGTATATTTATGTTTATCAATTTGTTTTCAGGGCAGCTGTCTACAAACATTTGACCAAGACACACATCAGATTTATCTTATGCTTTGTGTTTGAGGGAATTTTCCCCCCAATTGAAATTACTGCTTTATTAGTAGACCACCGAAAGTTCCCAAACACAGTGTCTTTTTCCCATATAATGTTTTACATACAAATTAAGGTTAACTGTCTTGAGAGTTTTAAGTTCCGTTTGAATTTCTAATTTTTATGTGCATATCATATGATACTTCCATATATTGCTTATTATCCAGCGCAGTAAGTTAACTACAAATATATTGTTTTTTGTACATAATTTATAAATCTGCATCACCCAACATTGAACATCATTTTATATGGAGAATGTACATGTTGCAAAGTGACTACCTTCAGCATTCTAACAGGACTTCTGTAAATACAAAGTTAAAAGGAAATTGAAAATAAAACCAAACACTAATATTTTAATAGTTTTAGTACTTTGCTTAGCATTCAACACTAGCAGATTTATAACTGATGCTTGCTCAAAAACACTATTGGTAAGACCTTTTAACTTCACATGTATGAAACTAATAAATTGTCCATGATTAAAGAAGTTATAGCACGCATTACTTAGTGCTAATATTCTACTTAATATAAATTAAGCAATGGATTGAAGTCCAAGATACCGAACAATAATATCTACACATCATTATCTTCAGATTCTTTAATTACTAATCTATAGATAAAGCCATAAGAATTATTGTCTACCAATTCTTCCCTTTTTTTTATCATCTAGACTATTTTTTCCTAGGAAACTGAGTATCTATCATTGATAAATTGGTATCTGGCTTCTTTGACTTATCTTAATGTTTTTGAGGTTCATCCATGTATCCATACTTTATTCCTTTTTATTGCCAAATAGCATTCAATTGTATGGAAACAATGTCTTAATGTGATTATTTTACATGATACTTTTATTCAAATGATTGTCTTAGTTTTTTCATTTTTTTCTTAGGGTGTGTTTTCTTATGTGTAATTGTCCTCTAGTACCATGTAAAGCCCCTGTTATGTGTTCTTCTCTTCTGTTCAAACAGTTTATTTGTACTATTAATTTCTCCTTGAAGAAATCTTTTCTCTGACCTGCTCCAGGCTACCTCAGTGAGGACGAGGTGACTCCAGGCCTCCTGCATAGTTGTCATCTTGGGAGCTTTTTCGGCATCATAGGGATTCCTTTGACTTCACTTTTGTATTGGACTTCCTTTTTCCTGGATAAAAAAATGTCTTTTTCTTTCTTAATGTACTTCAATTTGGTGTAGCAAATCCCTCTTTCTGGGGGAAAAAAAAAAAAAAGATTTATGGGAGATAAACTGTAAAAAAGTTTTATTTGATTTTTGGTTCTTGTGATTCACCCAGAAAAGGGTTTTCTTTGAGGGGTCAGGTTAAGTCATTTCAGCTTTTAACTCATACTTTAGCCTCATACTTAATTGATAGTTTGAGTGAGCATTAAAAATTTTAAAGATAATTAAATGTAGATTAGAAATTTTTTTTCTCAGAATTTTAAAGGCACTGCTCTATAGTTGAGAAGTCTGATATCATTTTGATTCTTAATATTTTATATAAAACATGTTTTTGTTTGGGGCTGGATGCTTTGTTCTTTTCTTTGTGCCCAGGTACTTCACAGGCCTTTTCAATCTCAAAGCTCATGTCTTTCATGACAGAGAAATGTATGTCTAAGATCTCTTTTCATTTGTTTGTTTTTAAGATCTCTTTTTAGAGTATCCTGTTCTTTTTATTTCAGAGAGGAAGGGAGAGGGAGAGAGAGATAGAAACATCAATGATGAGAGAGAATCATTGATAGGCTGCCTCCTGCACACCCCCCCTTTGGGAATCAAGCCTGCAACCCGGGCACATGCCCTGGCCAGGAATCGAACTGTGACCTCCTGGTTCGTAGGTTGGCGCTCAATCCCTGAGCCATGCTGACTGGGCAGAACAGTTCAGTTTTGTTGAACATACACATTCCTGGACCCTACCAGGAGAAAGTTTCAGGGAAAAATGTTTAAACTAACTGCTGCTTTCTGATGGTGGAGGTGGCCTAACTTAGTTATGCTGCTGAAAGGTGGTGTCCATTTGTATATACCAGACACACACACAGGAGATGTCCATAGTTCAGCTGCATTTTTGTCCTGAGTAATTAAGAGTTCCATTTCAGGTAAGTCCTCTGTGACTCGGCCCCATTTGGTTGGAATAGAGGATCTACCACAATGATTCTCAAACTGAGGATATCAGAATCTCCTGAGATGCTTGTTAAAAATGTAGGCTCCGGGATTTCACTCTCCAGTTTCCATTCCTTAGATCTGGGAAACGATTTTACATGTTTAATAGGCATCCTCTGTTATCCTGATGCAGATGGCCAGTGCGCCATATTTGGAGATCCGCTAATCTAAGTTTGTTACCAATAATGTTCCTGAAAGTTTTGAGGGGTTGGGTTGGGCTGAGAAAATTAAATATCTTGTTTTTTGTATTGTTTAAATATAATTAGTTCCTAAAAGAATAGTAATAAGGATAAGCAGTGCAGCTCTGAGAGCTAGGCAACCAAGACTTTGTACTGTAGAGGGCCCAGCGCTGGTGTTCTTCCAGTCAAGTCCCAGTTCACAGGAGGAGGGGTCCCGGAGGACATCCCCACCTGTAGTCGAGCCCTTCCAGGTCACATCTGGGTACTTAGTACTCTGTAATTCCTTGCCCGTGTCCACTTTCCTCCTAGGCCCAGGGGATAACTAAGTTTTACCAAATAGTCTCTTCCCTTAACCTTTTCTCTTGCCTACCAAAACAATTCCTCTATGCCTTTGCTACTTTATATTAGCAGTTCTCAAAAAAAAAAGCAGCATTAATTGCATCTCCTTTGACATTGAGGAAATGACCCTCAACGTATAGTTTTATGTAAGATTCGAGATGGCTTATTAACATCTGATATACTGCAGTGTTTTAATTGTAGTAAGTTTTGCTAGAGCAGTGGAAAGCTACAACTTTCCAAACAGTAGGGAAGTTGTGGTTCCCCTGCTGTGCTCCTCCTCTGTAGCAGCCAGGAAGAAGGAATCACGTGTTCCATATTATCTCTTCAGAAGGGCCTGGGGAAAAGAGAGAAAGGAAGAGATTAACTGACTTAATTTAACACTTGGAGCCATAAATCATGTGTTGCAATATGGTGATAGGATGTTGCATCAGAACATGGATGTGGCCGTTGTAATGCAGTGGGTAGCACAACCATGGGAGGCTTTGTGGTGCTCTCTGTCTTTCAAGTCTGCACCCCTCCTGCCCTGCAAGGAGAAAGGTGTTATTTTGGTTACATGTACCTCCCGATCATTTTGTTCTCTCCGCCGAGGGCACGTGCATTTCTTTATGGGTGAAAGTTTGCCACAGACATCATTGTACCGGGTCCCAGCACCCTCTTGTGTCCTGTGGTCACGTACCAGCAGGGAGGTGTTGGGTTTCCTCACATCTTCCTGGAAGTCTGTAGGGAAAGCTGGGAGGTGTTATGGCAAAGCTTACGTGTAATGTCTTTACTCTCGGAACCGTTAGTTTTGAAAGTGTATGTAATATTTCCTGAGTATTTCACATTGCTTTTATCTCAAGATTTGAAAGATAGTAAGTGACCAGGAATTTGTCCCTGAGAAACAAAATTGAAGATTGACAGTAATGATAAGGGTAGGAGAATGCAGTGTATTTCAGCAAAATTCTTGATAATCAAAGCAGATTTTGGTAGTTAATTGTTTCTTTATTGTTGTTTTTGCATTTTTTAACACATGACAATATCAAAATTAAATTTTACATTTAAAGCATAAACTCTTGAGGACAGGGCTAATGTCTTAATTATATGGTAGTGCAAGTAGTAGTATCCATGGAGGTGGGTGGGAAAGTGAAGGAACTTAGGCAAAGGATTGACAGATGATGAAAAGAAATAACCTTAAATTCTGATAAAGCTGGGTTTGGAGGATGTGGTTTAGATTTGTGACAGTGGGTTTTTCAATATGAACTCTAGAATTAGTCAGACTTGCCCACCAGTAAAATGTAGCATTTGATCTCCACAACCCTTCCTCCTTGAGGGTCACACCCTATAAAACTCCAGGAATAGAGAAACCACCTGGTTCTCAAAGATGGAAAGAGAAGGAGCTGAGCAAAATGTGCAGTTGCTCTCCCCTACTTGATGGTGAGGGAAGTTGCTCCTCCCGGGAAGGAGGAGGGGAAAGAAAGCAAAAACGTTACACACTACTGGCATTCCCCCCCACAGAAGAAAGTAACTTAGTGGGAGGAAGCATTCCTGCTCTAACAGAGTGATAGTGGTGTGGTAGTTCTTAGGATATTGTAACAGGACATTAAAGCAAATTTTAATGATTTGTAAATTATTTTCATGATTCACTGAATTAAGGAGACATGCTCTTAAAAGACAGTGTGATAGTTTGGAGTATGGCCTTTAAGTCCATATCTTCTGAAATATTTAAAGGTGAACTGATAGGATATCTAAGCTCTACCTCAAAATAATCCAGGGACTGGAGAGGTATACTGTAATTAGATTATTGATGTTGTGTTAGTTGTGTTAGGTGATGGGCATATGGGGTTCATTGTATTACCTCTAGTAAAATGAAAGTTCAATCTGATTCTAAACTTCACTATTAGCTATGTGTCCTCAGCAACTTGCTCTACCTGAGTCTCTGTTTCCTAATCTCTGAAATGAGGGTAATAAAATCTACCATAATGACCATTGTGATTATTCAATTAACATAACACATTATGTGCCGACTACGTAACACACAGGAGTTGCTCAAAAATTGGTAGTTTACTATTCTATCTATAAATAGGAGGAAATCAATATTTCATCTTCCTTAAACATGAAATGTTTGCTTTCTTGGTGAGGTGTGTATGTATTTTCCCCAGGTGACTGTATTAACTTGGATTTTGTTTTGACAGCTCAGATGCCTCAAAGGCCAGAGGGGCTTCTTGGGCCAACCCCCTTTTGATGGAATCCACATTGTCAACCACTTAATAGGAGATGATGACTCATCCCATTCCTCTGATGAAGATCTCATAGAGAATTCCTTGCAGGAGAGTGGCATTGGTTTTCCTTTGCACAGAAAGTCTGGCGCGATGTCTTTAGACCCCACTGTGGCAGATGGTAGTGAAAGCGAAACAGAAGACAGTGTGATGGAGACCAGAGAGGGCAATCAAGTGGATCAAAAGGAACAGCCCCCAAGAAAGAGAGAATCGTACTCAACCACTGTCTGACCATCACTGTGAACTAGACTGGATTTTTTTAAAGGATCAGTTATATGATTAAGGGTTTTTGGGGACATATCTGTTTCATATGTACATATATATATTTTTCAATCTTATCTGCCTTTTGATCTTTGCCAAACCGTCACCACTGACTGACCATTGCCATAAAGTAGACTGGACTATGGTTAATGTGAAAAATAAGGTTCTAGCAGTATTAC